CTGGGGGTGGAGGCACAAAACGGGCTGGAACAGTGAATTTATAGCATTGGCTTTGAGTTTTATTGCTGGAGGCGGCAGCAGGAGCTGGAAGGCTGAACCGTGGTTTCCTTCCCAGTTGATGGTGCGTCCTTTGGGGGCTGGAGGGCTTTCAGAGAAGAGGAATAATCCAAAAAGTACCCCCAAAATATTTGGGGTCTGGGATGGAGCGAAGCCTCGGGGGGGGGAGGGAAGGGGACAGGGAGTCCTGGTGGCTCTGGCCAAGGAGCAGATAGATAATTAACAGTAGTTAATTTCACTGAAACTGCAGATGAAAAGCTAATTCCCATCCAGGTTGCATCGGGCTGGATGGAGGTTGGAAGGTACCAAGACACTGACAGGTCACCCATTGTGATTAACTTCACTAATTAAAGTGAAGCAGTGAAATATTTATTAAGGTGAAACAGTGATTTAACCAAACGAGTAGTAAATGCCATAAAACCAGTAGTAAATGCGATAGCGTTTTACGAGATTCGATGTCAAGGCACACTCTATTATTCACTGCCCAGAGGACAGGGTCAGACACGTCAGGGAGACCCTCCCGTTGAGTCACGAGGTTCAGAAGGGACCCCCTGGGCTTTCTGAACCCCTTCTCAGAGAGGAGTCCAGGTGCAGCTGGATCCAATCCTGGTCCCAGACTTGGTCAATGGTTTATGTCTACAGGATCATAGAATCATAGACTCCTTTAGGTTGGAAGAGACCCTCGGGATCATCAAGGGGCTTTCTGAACCCCTTCTCAGAGAGGAGTCCAGGTGCAGCTGGATCCAATCCTGGTCCCAGACTTGGTCAATGGTTTATGTCTACAGGATCATAGAATCATAGACTCCTTTAGGTTGGAAGAGACCCTCGGGATCATCAAGTCCAACCATCCAACCATCTCCCCTACTCTACAAAGTCCTCCCCTACACCATGTCCCTCAGCACTGCATCTAAACGGCCCTTAAACACATCCAGGGATGGTGACTCCACCCCCTCCCTGGGCAGCCTGTTCCAATGCCCGACCACTCTTTCTGTGAAAAATTCCTTCCTAATGTTCAATCTAAACCTCCCCTGTTGGAGCTTGAAGCCATTCCCTCTCATTCTGTCACTAATTACCTGTGAGAAGAGACCAGCACCAACCTCTCTACAGTGTCCTTTCAAGTAGTTGTAGAGAGTGAGGAGGTCTCCCCTCAGCCTCATCTTCCTCAAACTAAACAGTCCCATATATATATATCTATCTATCTATATATATATATCATAGAATCATTCAGGTTGGAAGAGACCCTTGGGATCATCGAGTTCAACCATCTCCCCTACTCTAAAGTCCTCCCCTACACCATATCCCCCAACACCACATCTAACCTCTTAAACACAGCCAGGGATGGTGACTCCACCCCCTCCCTGGGCAGCCTGTTCCAATGCCCGACCACTCTTTCTGTGAAAAATTCCTTCCTAATGTTCAATCTAAACCTCCCCTGCTGGAGCTTGAAGCCGTTCCCTCTTGTTCTGTCACTAATTACCTGTGAGAAGAGACCAGTACCAACCTCTCTAAATCATATCATATCTGCACAATCAACCCTTTACATCACTTAGCTAAGATTTCAGAGCTGAGCATGCTGTGAGTCACTTACCGAGACTCTGTTGTGGCAAGGAATCTCTCATCCTCGAGGAGCAGAACCTGAAGCGAGTGTCCTCACCACAGGGGAGATCCTGGCGTGCAGCCGCTGCCGTACAGGAGAGCTCCAAGGGCTCTGGGGCTGTCCATTATTTATGCAGTAAGATAATTGACCTAGAGTCATATTTTCATGGCAACCAAATCTCTAGGTCCCCACTCCAGACAGTATTTTGACTCTGCTGCCAGCCATCCCCCAGAGACCGGGTGCAAGTTCTCACAGCTGCTGTTGTGGTGGCCGTGGTGGCCAAGGCCGGGCAGGAGCCTGGCAAACCAGGGAGAGCACACTGCCACAGCCACGGAGTCTCCAAATCAGACTTTAAATTTTAGATTTTGTCACAACAAACCAGGCAGAAACAGCTGAAATGTCCCCGTCCAGGGCTCCCCTGCTCCACCTGGGAGCCCAGGGACTCAGCACCTGTTTGAGAGCAGCACAAATTGGATCTGGACCACAAATACAACCCACCTGCTTCTAATTGATGTTCGTTAAATGCTCACGTGGTGCCTGGAGGGCACAGAAAAGGATGCGGGAGGGAGGAGGGGCTCCCACCATCACCATCATCATCACCACCAGGTGCTGTCCTGTCCTGGGCTCTGCGAAGGAGACTCCAGACACAGCTCGTTTTCACCTGTTCCCAATGCGGGGGACCTGGACAGGCTTTGGGGACAAGAAGAAACAGCCTCAAGTTGCACCAGGGGAGGTTCAGGATGGATACTGGGAAAAACTTCTACATGGAAAGGGCTGTGAAGCCTTGGAATGGGCTGCCCAGGGCAGTGGTGGAGTCACCATCCCTGGAGGGGTTTAGAAGCCGGGCAGACGTGGTGCTGAGGGACGTGGGTCAGTGGTGGGTTGGGCAGTGTTGGGTTGATGGGTGGACTCCATGGTCTGGAAGGTCCTTTCCAACCCAGATGATCCCAATTCTGTGCCCGCTGGAGCCAGGGCTCTGTGGAGAGGCACCCTGAGGAGCTCTGGGCACAGGCTCAGGTCACTGGTTTTGCCCATCTTTTGGGTGACCCCGGAGGAGTTTTGCTCAGAGATTCCTTCAGACCAGAGTGGGCTGTTCTCCACCTTCACACAGGTGGCTGCAGAACTTCTTACGCGCTGTTGGGTGCCCTTTGCCAGCTCTGACTCAGCTTCTCTCCTCACAAGCCTTGGGTTTGTGTCTGCTCCTGGATCCTCCATCGCTCATCAGCCACCACTTCTCTTTTCTCCCCAGTCCCTCCGTGGTTTGTGTCTCTCCCAGCTCCTGCCCAGGGTGGCTGCTCCATCCAACGCCCCTTTCTCCAAGGGTTTTTTTCTCTCTCTCCCTTTTCAGTGCAAATCACAAACTCCTTTGAGTTTATGATGATTGTTCTCAAACCCTCCATGTCGCACCCGGGCTGCCAGAGAGCTGAAGGAAACCCTGGGCAATAGCAAAATCAGATTGTTCCAAAACAGAGAATCTGAGATTTTATTTTTTTTAGCCTTTTCTGACTCCTCGTCAGTCCCGTCAGATTATTTCTGCGTCACAAATCAATGACCTCATTGTCTGCTTTTTTTTGTTTTGTTTTGTTTTTTTTACCCGTGGCTACAGTCTCTGGCTGCCCATCGATAACTCCGTAATCCTTTGTGTTTCAAATATTTACACAGCATCACGGGGAGCCGCCGGGCTCTGCGCTGACAAGGTGACAGTGAAATGGGTATTATTTTCCTCAAAAGCTGCTGAGGAAACGTGGAGACAAACCAGGTGGTCTCCAGCCTGGGGGTGGGGGGACAGTGGGGTGCATGAGGGGCTGTGTCCCTGCTCCACAGCTCTGGCTTTGCACAGGTTTTGTTACTTTCTCCCTTTAAAAAAAGAAATATACAAAGGACCAAGGAGCTGTTGGAGTGGGGCCAGAGGAGGCCATGGAGATGCTGGGAGGGCTGGAGCTGTGAGGACGGGCTGAGAGAGCTGGGGGGTTGAGCCGGGAGAAGAGAAGGCTCCGGGGAGACCTTGGAGCCCCTTCCAGTCCCTCAGGGGGCTCCAGGAGAGATGGGGAGGGACTCTGGATGAGGGAGGGGAGCCATAGGATGAGGGGGAAGGGTTTGACCCTGAAAGAGGGGAGATTGAGATGAGATGTGGGGAGGAAATTCTTCACCCTGAGGGTGGTGAGAGCCTGGCCCAGGTCTCCCAGAGAAGCTGTGGCTGGGGTCTCCCTGGGGCCTGCAGCACATCAGTCCATTGGTCACCACCCAACCCAGAGCTGGGGCTCTCAGGGCAGGTCCCCACCTTCCTCACCAAGTCCCTGCCTCCACCAGCAGATCTCACCCCCTCACCTCCACCCTGTGAACTGGGACCCAGCCACTTGCCAAGGCTCCACTGAAAAGTGACAACTGAGCTCTTCAGCTTCAAGATAAGCTTTATTTATTTTAAAGGAGAAAAAAAAAAAAAAAGCCCAGGATACAGTGTTTACATTCAAATCTGTCTCCTGTATCAGTTAAATACTGGTGTGGCAGGTTGTCACAGCCAAGTGTCTCCTGTGGGCTGACACCACACAAAACCTCAGACTGTGCGCAGTCACAAGCACTAGAAGCCAAAGGAACACTCTCTCCAGCCCAAACCCTCCTGTGCTGCCGTGGATGCAGCACAGGGACGTTTCTTCCTCATTCCAGAGGAGCAAAACATCGTCCCTTCCACGCTGCTTTGGAGCAGGTTTGTCCTCTCTGACACCGTCCACACGAGGGAATTTGAACAGCCATTCCCCTGTCCCTTCACCTGGACGGGCAGGGGCTCCTGAGCACACACTCACGATGTGCACGTGGGTCGTGTTTGTGCCACAGGACCCACCCAGAGCTCCCGTGGGTGCAGGCTGTCCCCGAGGAGCAGCTCCCGAGCAGGGGTGATGGCACCAGGCCCCCCGGGAGAAGGGCACGTCCCCTGCAGAGGGGCCTGACCACGGGCACTCCCTGTCTCCTCTGCAGGAACCCTGCTCAGAGCTGCCTCTGGGACCTCGCCGTCTCCGAGTCCCTTCTCCCTGGGGAATACCTGTCAGTGTGGGCTCTGAGCCTTCCTGTCCTCTGGTGAGTGCTCTTCACAAACCTCAGCAGGTTGACGACAGCAGCTGGTGTGACGCCGGGGATGCGGCTGACGGCGCCGATCTGCGTGGGGGAACGGGGACCGGTCACCCAGGAACAAACCCACCCACGGAGCCAGGGGGGAATGAGACCAAAACCTCTGGGTCTTCCTTCCCCCAGTTCTCCACCCACCCCGTGTCCCTGGGGAGGACACAGAAGAGTCTTCATCACTGCTCAACCCTGTTGCAGCCCGGTATCTTGGACTAGGTGACCTCCAGAGGTCCCTTCCGACCCCGTACCACTCTGTGAGGTCCCTTCCAACCCCGTACCACTCTGTGAGGTCCCTTCCGACCCCGTACCACTCTGTGAGGTCCCTTCCGACCCCGTACCACTCTGTGACCCTGTGAGCTTACCGTCTGGGGACGGCTGGAGTCCAGCTTCTCCCGCACCTCTGCCGAGAGCGAGGCGTCGATGGCGAAGTAATCCAGGTCCTCGGGCAGCTGGAGAGCCTCATCCCGGCGCACCTCCTCCATCTCCTGCTGCTGGCTGACCACACACCACTCGTAGGCAGCTGCGAGGGACCACCAGGGCCAGGAGAAGAGCAGAGGTGTTCAGGTGAAACAGGGCACTTGCAGGAATTCTCGGAAGCAAAACGAGCAGCTCCACCAAGAGGGTCAAAACCTCCCAAGGGAGTTTCCAGCCCCACAGCCTGAAGGGCCCAATTCCCATCACTGCTTTGGAAGAAGCTGTGCTCTTTCATTTGTTACAGGAGTTAAGATCTACGGGTTGGCTTTTCCTCCCATCCCAGGAAAGGGTGGTCTATCTGACAGAGCAGAAAGGAGGAAAAGCCCAGGAGTGACCATGGTCTCACCCCATGAAGTGACACCCAGGGGCCTGTACCAGGCTATGGCTCATGGCAAAAGGTGCACACGTTTCCTCTCACTAAGCACCAACGTGAGACACAGCGTGAGGAAGGGACTTGCTCTCCCCTCACCAAACACACCCTCCACAGACCCCACCGAGGGATGGTAACTCTTGGGCTCTACCTTCTATTTTCAGCCTCTCTGCCAGTTCCCTCCACTGAGCCAGCCTTCCCAGGGGCTCGGGGACAGCCCTCGCCAGAACCTCCACGGTGGCCTCTGGGTACTGCAGGATGTCAAAGGCACTGCAGAGAACAGGAAAAAGGTTTCAAGGCAGGAAGGAGGGGCAGGCGTAGGGCAGATTCACTGCTGCTCCCAGCTCAAACCCGTAAAGATCCCAGAATAAGCCACAACTGCAGAGCCAAGCTCACCGCCCAGCTAGGAAAAAGCAGCCCAGCTCTCGAGGAGGGGCTCTATGAAAAATGAACAGCCAGAGGGGACGGGGTAAGGGCATCACAGGAACCTTTCACAGAATCACAGAACGATCTGGGGTTGGAAGGGACCTCTGGAGATCATCCAGTCCAACCCCCTGCCAGAGCAGGGCCACCCAGAGCAGGTCCCACAGGAATGTATCCAGGGGGGTTTGAATGTCTCCAGAGAAGGAGACTCCACCACCTCTCTGGGCAGCCTCTGCCAGGGCTCTGCCACCCTCACAGCAAAGAAGTTCCTCCTCATGTTTACGTGGAACTTCTTATGTTCCAGTTTGTGCCCATTTCCTCTTGTCCTGTCCCTGGGCACCACTGAAAAAAGACTGGCCCCATCCTCCTGACACCCACCCTTTCAGTATTTATTAGCATCAATCAGATCCCCCCTCAGCCTTCTCTTCTCCAGACTAAAAAGCCCCAAGTCCCTCAGCCTTTCCTCATCAGAGAGATGCTCCAGGTCCCTCATCATCTCTGTAGCCTCTGTTGTCCCCTCTCCAGCAGTTCCCTGTCCTTCTGGAACTGGGGAGCCCAGAACCTGACACAGCACCCCAGCAGTGGTGAGCCTGAAATCAATCACTGCTTTATCCAGCTCCCAGCAGAGCAGGATCCCGCTGCAGAACCGTCACCACCTGGTGACTTCTCCCGCTGCAGAACCGTCACCACCTGGTGACACTCCAGACAAGGAGAGCAGGAACAGGCTGGGGCAGGTCAGCACCCCCTCTGGGAGCCCATGTCAGCTCCAGGAAATGCGGCACATTGAACACACCAACACTGCACTAATTCTACAGCCAAAGATCAGCTGTCTGTCCCCGGAGGGTGACAAAGCTGGAATCTTGGAGACCTGACAACTCCAGGAAGGATGGAGAAACACTGCGAGCCCAGCAGCCGGCTGTGCTGGAGCGGGTGTAGCTCAGAGCAGAAAGCTGTGACCCGTACCTGGCTGGTGACCTGCGACTGCTGCTGATGGGAACTTGGGGTAACAACTGGGACCATTTGGAGATGCTCAGCTGAATGGATTTCAGCGCCACGATCCCATCCTCCAAGGCAGCTCTCATCTTCACTGCTCGATCGTACCGCTGCTGCGACACACAGCCCGCCTCCTCGAAGCCTGCAGGGATGGAGGCCGTGTGAGATGAAGGGCTGCCCCCCGGCAGGGCCACCCACCCCAAACCCCACTGTGAGGACACACCTCTGTGGGTCAGCCTGGCGTCGGCGTTGTCGGGCCGCAGGGCCATGCGGAACTCCACGCGGCTGGTGAACATGCGGTAGGGCTCGCTGGTGCCCAGCGTGGTCAGGTCATCGATGAGGACACCGACGTAGCCCTCGGTGCGACTGACGACGAAAGGGGGCTTGCCATGGACCCGCAGGCACGCGTTGATCCCAGCCATCACACCCTGGCAGGTAGAAAACACACCAAAAAACAGTAACTGGTCTTTCCGTGGCTAAAATACCAGCACAGCTGCCTCCAAAGAGCCATGTGTCAAACTGCACCCTGGAAAATCATAGAACCACAGGACTGTTTGGGTGGAAGGGACCTTAAAGCCCCCCCAGTGCCACCCCCTGCCCTGGGCAGGGACACCTCCCACCACACCAGGTTGCTCCAAGCCCCATCCAACCTGCCCTTGAACCCCTCCAGGGATGGGGCAGCCACAGCTTCTCTGGCCAACCTGGGCCAGGCTCTCACCACCCTCACACCAAAGAATTTCCTCCTGAGATCTCATCTCAATCTCCCCTCTTTCAGGGTCAAACCCTTCCCCCTCCTCCTATGGCTCCCCTCCCTGATCCAGAGTCCCTCCCCATCTCTCCTGGAGCCCCTTGAGGGACTGGAAGGGGCTCTAAGGTGTCCCCAGAGTCTTCTCTTCTCCAGGCTGAACCCCCCAGCTCTCTCAGCCCCCGCTCCCAGCAGAGGGGCTCCAGCCCTCCCAGCATCTCCATGGCCTCCTCCGTGACAACCTCAGTCACCACCACTGCCGATACTGAGAGTGAGAAACGTGGGGGCAAGTCTGGAGTTGGGGTGAGCAACAGAAGACAGACCACCTCATGGGCACAAGATGGGCCTGGCAGAGACAAACGCCGAGGCCAGAGCCCTTTCCCAGCCCTGAGCCCACACCAGGCCCCACCTGAGCCGCAGCCTCCTCGTAGCCCGTGGTGCCGTTGACCTGGCCCGCGAAGAAGAGGCGCTGAACCAGGCGGGACTCCAGAGCAGCAGTCAGCTGGCGGGGATCTAAAAAATCATACTGCACCCCGTAGCCTACAGCAAAACAGGAAGACGGGTCTTACAGGAGGGATTTTGAAGGCTCCCAATCATCAGGAAGGGCAATCAGTGGGGCAGGATGACTTAGGTTATCAACTGTTATTTCACTGAATTTTTTTAGAGTTGAAAGGGACCACAGAGATCATCTAGTCCAACTCCCCTGCCAAAGCAGGACCACCCAGAGCTTGTCAGAGCATGTTACTCAGGAGCATCCAGGTGGGTCTTGAAGATCTCCAAAGAAGGGGACTCCACACCCTCCCTGGGCAGCCTGCTCCAGGGCTCTGTCACCCTCACCGTGAAGAAGTTCTTCCTCATATTCAAGTGGAACCCTTTATGTTCCAACTTGTGCCCATTGCCCCTTGTCCTCTCACTGGCAACTACTGACTATAGTACTATAAACTACTATTTATGATTTAAGAAGAAGCAAGAAAAAATCCCCACATCCAAGAACTGATGTTGGTTTGTATTTCCTTTGGTTTGCTACGCTCTAAACAAAATCTGTTTTTCACCCCCTGGTAACCAATCTGACAAACAGCTTCACATCTCTTCACCCCCCTCACCTGGCTGTAACATCTTAGCCTTTTCCAAGCCTGGGATGGATCTGATCACCTGCTCCTGGAGCTCCGGTGGCAGCGTCATGGACATGCCCTGGGGGTAAGTGACATTGGACTCCAGGCCCTCGGGCTCCAGCCACACCTGATGGTGCCGGTTTGGGAAGCGCAGGACCTTCGACTCCAGAGAGGGACAGTACCTGCAACCACACACAGCCCTGAGCACCTCCAGATGTGGGGAAAACATTCCAGAAGCCAGGCGAGACCCACAGCTCCAGCCTGACTGCCAGCTGGTGCCACCGAGAGCCCCGCATGACGCCACACACTCACCGCGGGCCCCTTGTTGTCTCCTTGATGTGGTCGTTGAGGTGGAGGTTCTCACGGATGATCTGCTGGGCTCTCAGGGAGGTGCGAGTCAGGTAACAGGGCAGCTGATCTTCTGGCTGAAAGATGCCAAAATTCACTCTAAGTTAACACAGTCACAACACCTCCTCTTCCCGACCAGCTCCGAGCGTCTCCGGGGGCTTTCCCAGCTCTCCCAGAGGATGGGCAGTGCTGTTGTGTCCACTGCACAGGCAGAACACCGGCAACCCCACAGCCCCAGCTACGTGCCCAAACGGTGGCCCAGAACAGAACCTGGCAGCCCAGAATCATAGAATAGTTAGATTTGGAAGGGACCTCAAGCGACCCCACAGCCCCAGCTACGTGCCCAAATGGTGGCCCAGAACAGAACCCGGCAGCCCAGAATCATAAAATGGTTAGGGTTGGAAGGGACCTCAAAGATCACTGAGTTCCAACCCCCTGCCCTGGGCAGGGACACCTCCCACCAGACCAGGTTGCTCAAGACCCCATCCAGCCTGGCCTTGAACACTTCCAGGGATGGGGCAGACACAGCTTCTCTGGGCAACCTGTTCCAGTGTCTCACCACCCTCATAGTAAAAAATTTCTTCCTGAGATCTAATCTGAATCTTTTTTCTTCCAATTTAAAACCATTTCCCCTTGTCCTATCATTACAAGAACTCAAGCTCTATTCTAGACACCGCATTCCTAATTACAGGATGGGTACTGCTGTTACAGCAACACGTCACTGATATCACCACATTCAAATTAATCCCAGTGATTGGGAGCTCTGACGTAAGAGGAGTAAGCACTGACCCCACAGGGAACAGCCAGTTACAGAGTTCGGGGAAGAGAAAAAAGAAATCTCTCAAAACCCTGCAATTAACATGGAAAACTCAAGGTTTGAGAAAAAAAAAAACACCATTCAAAGTATTTCACTGATTTCTTCTGAAAAAGAGTCAACAGAGTCACATTCAAAATACTAATAATGTTGCACCTCAACTTCTTGAAATCTTTCCTACATGTCTCAAGGACTTCAAGTGATATTACATTTGCCCCCGCTCCAACTATAACTGGTTACTGCAATTCCTGGATGCTCTGGGGCAAATTAACTCCTGATGCTTAATTCTCTGCTGTTTAACTACCTTACATAAGAACAGCATCTGTTTTCCAACATTTTCTTTGGAAAATTGAGTTTCTTCTGCTTTTCAGTTACTGTTAACACACCACCCCTGAGCTCCGCGGATCACTCCATCCTTTCTCTTCCCTAGTCAACGCTACTAATCATCTCCAATTTCAACATTTCAATCTTATTCTACAGCTGGGATAACAGGCAGCGTAAATTTCCACTATAAGCGTATAAAACTGGAAGTATTTTATAGACCATCCAGGGAACCAGCACATGAAGAGCACTACTAACAATGTCCTATTGATGCAATTCTGATTCTAAAAGTACAGACAGTTTGGTTCTCAAGTTGAGAAGCGAGAGGAAAAAGGTACTTGCTTTCCACAGAAACCAAGCAGTTTCTCTCTTTGTGTTGAGAGTCCTCAGAAAGGTAAGGGAGAGAGGCTCAAAGAGAGCATCTGTCCCTGGGTTAGTGGCCAGCCCAGCCCAAACCACGGCAGGAACAGGCCCAGCATGGATCCCTTTCCCAGCACCACCTCCCCAGCTGACTCGGAGCACGACATCCCGTCCCACCTTGATCCAGACAGCCTCGCTGAGGAAGCTGAAGGGCACGGGGGGGTTGTCAGCTGCCCGCTCCTCCAGCCGGCTGAAGTCGATGGTGTCTCTGGCCAGGCGGGGGGGCGTCCCCGTCTTCAGCCTGCCCACGGCAAAGCCCAGCTTCTCCAGGGTCTGAGCCAGCCCCACGGCCGGCCGGTCCCCCAGCCGCCCCGCCGGGTGCGACTCCAGCCCCACGAGGACCATACCCCTCAGGAAGGTGCCGGTGGTCAGGACCACACTCCCAGCATGTACCGTGCTCCCATCGCCTGGAAATACAAATAAAATACAGAGATGCCTGTCTAAAACTGGACTAACAGCATTCCCTGAGGGCTTATCAATCTTTTGTTATTTAATGAAAGCAGCATTTCAATAATAAAAGCATTAATAGTAGTAATAGCAGTAGTAATAAGTAGTAATAGCAGTAAGTTATTGCTTATTCCTATGCTTTTCTTACTCTTGTTACCCCTAAGACAGAAAACCCACTCCTGGGAAAAATTCCCATCCAGGCCTTTATTTCATAAAGCTTGTTTGCTGGCACAGCAAGGGGTAATAACCAAGAGTCTGTCAGTAATGGACCCCCCACCCCATAACACTGTTGGCAACACTGGCCATTTACCAAATAAAATCTCCCAACGCAGCACGGGGTTCAGCATCCCTTGCCTGAAGAAAATGAAACTTTGATACCCACCACCCTGTCAACCCAGGTAAGGTTCCCATCGTGTTACACGTATTATCCCAGGTTAGTTCACACTCAGCCCAGATCACCTCCATCAGCCAATTCCACTCTCCTCCTGACAAACCAGAACCCTTTACCCCGCGGGCTGCTGCGGTGCAGAGTAGCTGGAGGTGCCCAGGGAATGAGTAGCACCTACCCAGGACGACTCCCGTGACCTGGCACTTCCCGGGACGCTCTGGCTCCGGCTCTGCCAAGAGCAGATCCTCCACAGACGCCTCACGGACCGTCAGCAGCGGCGTGTTAAGGATTTCTCTCTGTCACAAAAGGAGTTACTGCACAAATGTAGGAAGTTACGAGACACACAGGCAGCCCCCAAACCCGCTGATTTCCAAGACATTCATCACCCTCTTCCCCGTTCCATTCCTACCAGGACCCTCGGCAGATGCTCAGTCCCTGCCCTATTCCCATCTACCAAATAGAACTTTTAACTGAAACAGGTTCCCCAGAGAGGTGGGAGATGCCCCATCCCTGGAGACATTCCAAGGCCAGGCTGGACGAGGCTCTGAGCAACCTCATCCAGTTGAAGATGTCCCTGCTTGTAGCAGGGGGTGTTGGACCAGATGGCCTTTATTGGTCCCTTCCCACCCAAACCATTCCATGATTCACAGAGAGAGTTTGAGCTCAAAAAAGCCCTATTTGGTCACAAAGCCTGACCTTTAAACAAAACGCCAGAGAATTTTTTTAAACTATGCTGAGCTCTAACAACTTACAAAGTACCAAAGAGAAACGTCTGGACCATAGAATCACATTGGGTTATCTTGGTAAGTATTAAAAAAACCAAAACAACAGCATCCCCTGTAGTTTATCCTAATATTTCAGGTTTGGGTAATTCATTCCATTCACTCCAGCCCACAAACATGCACAAAGAAACCCAAACCCCTGGAGACTGTGTAGTGACAGAAGGAGGGGGGAGGGTTTGACACTGAAAGAGGGGAGATGGAGATGAGATCTCAGGAGGAAATTGTTGACTGTGAGGGTGGTGGGAGCCTGGCCCAGGTTGCCCAGAGAAGCTGTGGCTGCCCCATCCCTGGAGGGGTTCAAGGGCAGGTTGGATGGGGCTTGGAGCAACCTGGTCTGGTGGGAGGTGTCCCTGCCCAGGGCAGGGGGTGGCACTGGGGGGGCTTTGAGGTCCCTTCCACCCAAACCAGTCTGTGATTCCCTGAGATTTGGGGCGGCTGGTGGAGCCCGGTCCCCCCCCCACCACCACGGCCCCCGTCCCCCCTCACCTGCATGCTCTCCCGGTAGAGCTGGCGGTCGATCTGAGCGCGGAGCCCCCAGACGGCCGGGCCCTTGGCGCGGTTGAGCACCTTGTAGTGGATGCCGGCGCGGTCGCAGAGCCGCCCGCACAGCCCGTCCAGCGCGTCCACCTCCCGCATCAGGTGCCCCTTCCCGATGCCGCCGAAGGAGGGGTTGCAGGACATCTCCCCTGGGGACACAAGGACACCCCTCAACGTCCTGCCACGGACCGGGGGAACGGGCCGGGCCCGGCACCCTCCGTCCCCGCCCTTCCCCGGCCC